TAGTGTGTAGTTAGTAAGATCAGGGGTAGTCAGTCAATAAGTGGCAACTTCCCTAATTGGTTGTGTGCCCACTGTGGGGGCAGCCTGAGAATGAGACGTGTATAAACTGCTCTTAAGAAGAATTGACCTCAGATGGAATCATCACTGGAAGTGGAGTTTACAGCCAGTCAGCATGGGATTAAAACTAGCTCCTATTGAGGCTTCGAGGAACTGGAGGGACCTAAGAGGACTGGAAATCAGAACATAACCATAGCCACCACATAGTGAATCCACGAAGCATCTTCCCTACTAGCCCAAGCACACAAGAATATAGAGCTGGGAAGGTTTGGAGGAATGAAATAATGGCTGACTTGTGAATAATGATGAAAATATTTGATGATGCGACTCCCAGGGAAGCAATTATGGTTAACCCCTCATTTGTCTGGCATTTTCAAGGGTTGAACTGTCCCGCATAACTGAATTTTCCAGACAGCTAAAACTTTCCTATTTATGCGCCTTGAATGTTTTTAACCATGCTTGATGGAAATATTTCTGAAATAGATTATACAATTATCCTGCCTTCTTGAACAGAAGCTGCAAGGAATAACATTTCCTTTAGTTTCCTTGCACTGCAGGTCCAAGAAGACCTGATTAAAAGAGGTTGAAATAGTTAGGTCTTGTAATTGTCTGACATAACAAGGAATCCAGAGGTGGGTGGTACCAGAATGAGATGAATTCGACAGCTCAGTGATGTCAGGCTGACTTTCCGCTCATGGTCACGAGATGAGTGCCAGCTCCAAGCCTCAAGATCTCACGTGATAAGATCTAGGCAAAAATGAAATGGGGGCTTCTCCAGATGTGTCTTAAATTAGGAAAATATTTCTCAGAGACCCCTGGCTGACTTCCGCTCGGGTCCCATTGGCAGAACTGAGTCACATTTCTTTGCCTTGGTTTTATAGAAGGTTGAGGGAGTGAATGCTCTCTGACTATGGGAGGAGGTGTCTAAACATACCAAAAAAGATGGAGAATGGCTGTTGGTTAGGCAACCAAGAGTGTTGGCCCCGTTACCAAGATTGGGAGTGAACATCACTGTGTATGGTAATAGCTTGAGGGCCCGATCAAGCTCTTTGTTCCTACACTGAATCGCGCCCCCCCCCCCCCACTGGGATGCTTTGTGATTTCCTAAGTCTGCTCTTATTTATTATTCTCTCGGTGCTTTGTGCCAGACTGCTAGTTATCACTATTTGCTGTTAATGTCCCTTATTCTAATCTTGCCATAATTAGATTTTTTTTCTTTTTCCTGGAAAAACCATATGATCAAACTTGTTAGAACAAAGCCTGAAATGTTGAGTATCTGGCAGCTGTCCTGTGGATCAGATACACAATGTGGAGTTTTTCTTTTGGCCATTCAGTGTCATTTTTCCATTGTTGAGGTCTGAGGCTGAGAAGTGAAGTTTCTCGAGAGTCTTGTGAACTTAGATAAAACTAATGAAGTCTTCTTCTGGTGCAAGGATGAGCACTTAGGAGCAGTTAAGCATATTTACTAAAGAAGATAAAACCATCAGAACTTCAGCATGGTTTGGAGAGAGACGGCAAAGTTTCTCAGTGCATTCGGTGCCTCTAAAAGCTGCATGGCGGGCAGTTCTCTGGGACTGTGACCAGTGGAACCTGTCACTGCTGTGACTGTCCAGCGTGAGGCATGCTGGTGCAGAACTTAATTATTCCTGCTTTCTGCCAGGGCGTCAAAGCCCTGTGAGCAACTCCTGTGAAGTGTCCGGGTTAAGCAGAATTAGCAGTGTTTGAGTGTGACTCGTTTCAACAAGTTCTTGAAGAAAATAATGCTTAGGAAATGGCTATTGAAAATTATACTGAACAAGGAGGGGACCATTTCTTCTGTGGCTCGAGAGCTGGGCAAAATTCAGTCTCTGAATCCAGAAAGAAGGAAATAGGAAGCACTTGTGAAAACAATGCTGACAATGAGTAACTGAATCCAATGGAATGATTCTACTCTGGGAATCAAACCTGAGCTAGTAGAGGAGTTGGATTCTAAGGAAGCAGATGTTCAGATGCTCAGATTTAACATGGCTGAGACGACGAGCCCAAACTGCCTGGAAGCTTAGAAGTTTCTTAAAGCAATTTAGCCGTTTGAAGGCTCAGCAGTCATTATTTTAATGTGTCAGAAAAATCACGACGTAGCCTGTAGGCAAAATGTAAAGTGTCAGAAGCATTTGGGGATAAGGAAAACAAATTTTGTTTTGTTTTTTTTTTAATTCTAGCTAACATACCATTCAAATCATTATTATAAGAAAAATGCATAGTATTTCTCATAGGTATTTTAGTTATTAACTCCTTCTTAGAACATTTTTAAAGAAGTCATCCTTCTACTGACTACTGACTGATCCAGGCAGGATACGCCCTTGTTAAACTGAACAAGATATTTATATTTTTTTAATTTTATTTTCTCATATGTGAATTAATGTGTGGATTACCAGTGTTTATCTTTGAAGGACTCTGACCAGTCCTACCCCTTCTAATGATGTAGCTACTGTGTTCAAATTTTAGTACTGACTCCAGCTACACTTTTAAAGAAAAACCTCCATGGCAAAATAATCTTGTAATCAAATACTTTTGGGGAGATCTTGGTACATACCAACTAACAGGTTTTTTAAAATCAGAATAACTCACTTATTTAGGTAAATAAAATTTTGTTTGTATTTTGAATTGGTCCTGGTCTTAATTGGGCATTTTGGGGGTTAGAGTGAATGTTTCAGGACTAGGTGGGAAAATCATTTTTTAGCCTATCAAAATACCAGCGACTCATTTTCTATAAAACAAAAGAACAGGAACAAAAAATAAAATGCATTTCAAAGCCCCAGAAAGCTGGTAACTTAAGAGTCATGAAGCTTCTGATATTATATATATTGCTTGGATACTGAATGATGACTGTACTTACTTTGAATTGGTAAATTATTGCCATTGAATTTTATTATTGAAAATTACTGCTGTTTTGAAGGGAAACTTGCATGTTAAATACTTTGCACCAATGCTATAGCTATTGCTTTGAAGATTAATCTGAATCTCATTTTATATATGAAACATATAAAATATAAACATAGTTGAAGTCAAAGTAAAATATATGTGAATAGGCATTTTTTTCTAAAATTAATCAGAGGAAATGAAATGAGTAATCAGAAGACAGATAAACAGCTTTGGAAAATGACATTTATTCCAAATGACTGAAGATATTTCATATCAAACTCTGTAAGATGAAGGGATTCAAATGGGTTTTCTGAATCCAAGTGCTTATCATGTGAATTAGTCTGTTTTTCATGTTTTGTATTATTGCTATATGTTACCACATTTTTGCTTTGGCACAAACAAACATGTATTGAAACTGCATTGAGGCACTTGGAAAATGTGACTAAAGAGTGGACATTCAAAATCTTGCCACTTTTCTTTGGTGTGGGGTGATTCATCTGTAGAAACCCCCTACAGCACTGACTCAGAGTCAGATATACTCAGAGGTCTAAGAGGCCTTACTAACTGGACAGTTTTTTGTTTTTTAAGTTTGCTGCAAGCCTAACTTCCTTCAAAAAATCATTTTGGGTACTTGGTGGGCCTATTCCAAGTCAAAGGTCACCCTAACTGACTTGGTGATACGTGTATAGCTATCTAGTAGTCTTTTTCTTTCCTGTATTTGCCTCATGGAGCCAAAAGGATGAACCCTGTACATCCTTCACAGTAGAGGCTTTAGCTTACTAAGTTGTAATTTTGACATAGTGAGCAGTAAACCCAAGAGCAAAAGGCAACCTGAGCCAGTGGAAGAAGCTTAGGATTTAAATTACAGGACTAGATTTGAGTCCTGCCTCTGTGTAACTATGGTATGAACAAGTTAATAAACCTTTTGGAGTCTCAAATATGTCATTTATTAAATGCAGCTGGTGAAAATAATGTCTGCTTCAAGGAATTATAGGTATCAAATTAGATAAAGTATACAAAAGTACTCTGTAAAGCTAGAAAAGTCTATACACCTTTTTCTTGTTATTATTTTTTTAAACTGATGTGCCTATTCTATGTCCTTGGAGTGAGTAACATTTACAGAAATACATATTATATGCCTTGAGGAATTTGACAGCGAAACAGTCTGTGTTTTTAGTGATAGTTTGCCTGAACTGAAAATAGGAAGTCATTTTATTTTTAAAAATGGAGTTAAAGGATCCCAAAATGAACATAAAGCACATAATATTTGTAAATAGCAAATATTAAAATCAGTATATACTATAACAGTAGACATATGTAGTCCCTGTGGCATTCCATTAAGCAGCTCGTACTGATTGAGGAGATATATATGGTAACATATACGGAAAACGTAAGACTGCTCAGTATCAAAATTCACTGCTAGATTGAAAATAAAGTGATATACTTTGTTTTTTCTGGTGGCCCAGTTGCCATCTCCTGTAAAAAAGAAAGATCATCACTTGCCCTCTTGATCCCCTTTCCAAATCCATTCTTTAAGAACAGTCTTCTTCAAATTCTGGACGAGAAAGACACTGCCCAGCCTTTGATAAGTTTATGATATAATAGATACTTAAAAGAGATATACAGCCAACTTCTCTGTGAATACTGGACTGGGTAATAAGTGCCACAGCAGTTCAGGCAGCTGGGGTTGCCCAGCTTCTGAGACCATTTCCTAATACTCTTTTCAGCACCTACTTACACATCATGCCTCCTATTGGTTAAATTTTTATTTATGGGTGATTTGCCTCTCTACCTGAATCATAAACTCCTTGAAGGCAGGGAAGATACCTTGTCTTGGATTGTCCAAAAAGTTTGGAAAACCCAAATGAACTTTTTGGGCAACCCAATATTTCTTGGGTTCTCTCTCCATACCTGTTACCTAAGCATCAACCAGTATTTATGGTTTAAGTAGAATCTTGTACCCACCATTTGAATTTAGCCATAAATGTGTATTAAGATGCATTTAAGCCCTAACTTTCTTTTCCTTTCTTCTGTCTTTACAGTTGACCTGCCCCTGTTTTTTCCTCGAGATCAGCCAACTCTCACATTCCAATCTGTCTATCACTTTACGAACAGTGGACAGCTTTATTCCCAGGCCCAGAAGAACTACCCATACAGCCCCCGATGGGATGGAAATGAAATGGCCAAAAGAGCAAAGTAAGTGAATCACTGTTTTTGTTGTTGTTTTATTTGGCTGTGTTGGGTCTTAGTTGCAGCACGAGGCATCTTCGTTGCATCTTGCAGGATCTTCCCTTGTGGCGTATGGATTCTCTAGTTGTGGCATGCAGGCTCAGTAGTTGCAAAGGCGCTTGGGCTTAGTTGCTCCACATCATGTAGGATCCTAGTTCCCCAACAGGGGCTTGAACCTTCTTCCCCTGCATTGCAATGCAGATTCTTAACCCCTGGGCCACCAGGGAAGTCTCCTGAATCAATTGTTATTTCTTGCAAATAGGTAACACATTGTTTATCTAGTCCAGGAGTTGGCAAGCTAACCGTGCCTGTTTTTATAAAGAAAGTTTTATTGAAACATAGCCATCCTCGTTTTTAAACTTATCTTCTGTGGCTGCTTTCATGCAACAACGGCAGGATGAGTAGTTGAAACAGACCACATATGGCCTGGAAAGCCAAAAGTAATTGCCATTTGGCACTTTATAGAAAAAGTTAGCCAACTGCTTGTCTAGCCTCATCAGGTCGATTGCCTTTTTTTTTTTAATGGGTTACAGGATATCTCTGAAATCTACCTTTCTATTTAGATTAGATTCTATTTACTAGATGGGAGTTGGAGTTATGGATAAATAGTGTCTATGGTGAAAATATTGACAGCTGCTTTCACATTTTTTAAAATGGGAAATTTCAGTAAACAAATAGAATTCTGGTCTTGTTAGTCAACATGTGGATCCAGTACCTAGTTTTTCGTATGGAACTGTAATGCCTTTGAAGGAACAGAGTGAGTTATATTCCTCATTGCATCTCTGCAGCCATTGCCCAGAGTAGGGCCTGCATCATCTTTGAATAAATGGCTATACAAATAACTTAGAACTATTAATATCCTTAGGGAAATAAGTTGGGAATTTGAGGTTGAAGTTAGCCGGAATTTGGAATTTAGAGATATAACTATTGCACTTGAAACTCTCTGTAGAAAGTGTTCCCCAGTCATATGGAATAGGTAAATATAAATGCAGAGTGTTTTTTACAGGTAAGACTTTAGTATCTGGAGCACCAGTCTTCATGAACCATGAAGCAACAGTGAGTGGGTCAATGTCATAGTTTCCAAAAATAAATTATAGAGTGGCAGGTGGTTATTATTTTATCATACGGCTGTATGCTCACACCTGTGATTCCAGCTAAAGGATGATCAGATCCAAAGAATTACAGAGATGAAGAATATCGATTCAGCATCCTCTTCATTGTTCATCCAGTATTTATTGAGCATCTCCCATGTTCCAGGCAGTGTGCCCAAGGCTAGGGATACAGTGATAAACAAATCAGAAATTTTCCATGTTGTCATGGAATTTATAGCCCAGCAGGAGAGATCAAACCCTTTATTATATCAAACTTGTGATGGTTTTTTAAAGTGTCTACTAGTAAAACCTGGTCTTTCCAGACCTAAAACACTCTTGCTTGGTAAGACTTCTTGCTCTTTTCTTCCCTGCTGTGGAGAAGGCAATGGCACCCCACTCCAGTACTCTTGCCTGGAAAATCCCATGGATGGAGGAGCCTGGTGGGCTGCAGTCCATGGGGTCCTACGAGTCAGACACGACTGAGCGACTTCACTTTCACTTTTCACCTTCATGCATTGGAGAAGGAAATGGCAACCCACTCCAGTGTTCTTGCCTGGAGAATCCCGGGGACGGGAAAGCCTGGTGGGCTGCCGTCTATGGTGTAGCAAGAGTCGGACACGACTGAAGCGACTCAGCAGCAGCAGTGGCTTCTCTTTTGGTCCCCAAGTGCCCCCTGGCATCTCCTGTACTTTCAGTAGTACAAGGCTTTCACTCACAGCAGAGTTGGGACTCTTTTAAATAATGACAGGACAACTTTCTCTAGAAAATCAGATTGCCTCAGATTCATATGTGGAATCCAGAGCTATTGTTATCTGAACCTTCAGTGTGCCCTTCCTCACTGTGTTTTTCCTTTTTGCTCACTGTGTTTTTCCTTTTTGTCCATGATGCCCAAGTCTGAAATTCTATTTAAGGAAAAAGCAAACATACGCAAAGGTAACTAGTGATGATGAGTAAGACTTACTTATCTTGAAATAAACTTGAAAAGGGGGATTGTGAAATAAATTTTATGTTTGAGGAATTGCAGTTTAATTTTCTGGGCTTTCCCTGGGTCTACACAGGATCTGCCCTTAAAAGATGGGCTGTTATTTGTGGTATGTGCTGTGCAGTCTAAACTAAACGTGTTTTTGTGGTTTCCATGGCAAAGTTATTTCCGCGTGTATGTATGCACATCTGCATGTGTATGCCCATAGACACACGTGCTTTTTCAGTAAACATTTTAGCATGTATGAATTGAGTCTTTAAGGAGTTACAGACCAAAGCCTAGGATTTCAGTGTAGGCATATCATAAGTGAAGCCTGTTTATCTTAACAGATTGGTTTAGAATTGCAAGAGACATTTGCTTTACGTTACCACCAGCCTAAAGAAAACATCTGAAGTAATGTTAAAAAAAAAATCTGCCTTCTACTATAGTGAAGATGGGTCCATTTTAAGTGTAATAAAAGAGAAAGCCAGCAGCTCATGCTATAAAGAAGTAGTTTAAAAACTCCCTTCTTAAACTGACCCAAGTAACTTCCCTGAGCTGTGTCAGAAGTCCAGGTAGTGGATAAGCACAACCAGAGAACTGTCCTGCAGTACAGACTAGAGATTGGGGGAGAAGGTGAAGAGACAGGACCGAAAGAGACAGAGGCCAACTGCAGCATTCCTTACACTCCCTGCTTCCTTGTCCTGTGAAAACTGTATGCACACAGTGTGCACAAGGCTGTAATTCACTTGAAGAGCTCTGCCCAGGACATAAACACTCTCGTGGTTTATGAGCAGCACTACAGCCCTTGGAGTGGAGTCCGCTGTTTATTCCCTCCCATAGAGCAAAATTCTAAACATGTGAACTCAGAAAGGCCACTTCTGGCACTGTCCAGGGCTTCTCCTGTGACTTTTACTTCTTGCCCATGGCTGTCCAGCAAATTCTGTCCTCACAAGTGAATCCCTTCTGCTGGGTGAGCACAGGCTTTGGGGTCATGTGCACCCCAGTTCCCATCACACGTTCTAATCTGTAAGCTCTGTCGCCTTGGGCAGGGCTGTTATTCTTCCCAAACTTCATCCTGTAAAACAATACTGTACTCCTCCCTATGATAGGCTTGAGGTGAAGGGTCAGTCAGGGGGTGGACATGGGAAGGACCCTTGGTTGGATTTAGCTTCTGCTTAGACTTATGGTGCCTTTGCCTGCTGCTTTCCTCCTGCTCTCTTTCTGCTCCTGCAAACCTCCCCTTCCTTCCACAGTCTTCCTTATGGTTTTCCATCCATATTAACTTACAGGCAGTTCTTTCACCTCTCTCCAATTTTGGTTGACTATTGGTCATAGACTGCTTTGAAATCTCTTTTGTATTGTTCTTTGCTTTTTCACGTCTTTGTATACATCTCATTTCTTTCATAAACCAGTGAGTCCTTTGAAGGCAAGGGTTTTGCATATTTCTTTTAAAGATATCTTTATCACTTAAACATATTTACTGTAGCATAATTTAGGTACACTTATAGTTTACATAAGAAAGTGAAGTCGCTCAGTCGTGTCCGACTCTTTGTGACCCCATGGACTGCAGCCTACCAGGCTCCTCAGTCCATGGGATTTTCCAGGCAAGAATACTGGAGTGGGTTACCATTTCCTTCTCCAGGGGATCTTTCCGATCCAGGGATTGGACCCTGGTCTCCCGTATTGTAGGTAGACGCTTTTACTGTTTGAGCCATGAAGTAGACAGATTCAAATGTAACTTTTGATGGAGTTTTAACAGAGTTACCTTCTATCCCTTTCCAGTTAGTCTTCTCACCCCTGAAACAATGCTTTTTTTCTATCACCATGTCTTAGTTTTTCCTCTTCTAGATACTTCTTATAAATGGAATAATACAGATTGTACTCTTTCATGTCTTTTGTGTTCAGCATAATTAGTTTTAGACTTATCTGTTATGGAATGCTATTTCTGTTACATTATTCCTTCTTTTTCCTGCTGAGTAATATTTTATTATCTGAATATACTATAATGTACTAATCCATTCATCTGCATATGTGTGTTTAGGTTGTTTCCAGTTTGGGGATTTTTATGAATACAGCTGCTATGAATTTTCTTACATAAGTTTTTAATAGGCATGCTTTCAATTCTCTGGGTAGATAATTGGGAGTGGGAATGTTTGTATGATTAACTTTATAAGAAACCAACCACCTTTTTCATAATCATTGTACCAGTTTGTACTCCCACCATTAGTATGTCAGGTTCCAGTTGTTGCATATCCTCTCCAACACTTGGTATTGTCAGTCTTTTTAATTTTAGCTATTCTAGAGGGAGTGAAGGGATATCACATTGAGCTTTTAATTTTGATATTCTAATGACTACTGATAAGCATATTTTCATGTGCTTATTGGTATAAGTGTTTGTTCAAATTTTGTGTATTTTTAATCAGATTGTTTGTTTATTTTTAAGTTTTAAGAGTTCTTTATATATTTGTCAGAAATATGTGTTACAAATATTTTCTCCCAATCCGTGGCTTGCTTTTTCATTTTCTTAACAGTATCTTTTGATGAGCAGAAAATTTTTAATGCAATCTATTTTATCAGTGTTTTGTTTTTATGTTAATATTTCTGTATCCTCATAATTATTTGCCTTCCACAAATGCATGAAGAGATTCTCCTCTGTCTTTCTCTAAAGCTTTGGTTTTGGTTTGACATTTAGGTCAAATTCAAATGAATCCATCTCAAATTCATTTTGGGGTATGGTATGAGGTAGAAGCTGAAGTTAATTTTTTTTGTTTATAGATCTCCAGGTATTTAAGTTGTTGAAAAAACTTTTATTTTCCCCATGGAATTACCTTCATGCCTTTATCAAAATAAATAGACCATATATGAGTGGATATATTTCTGGATATTCTATTCTATCTAGTTTTCTGTTTATA